AGTGTGCTTCATTGGTTTAGTGTGCCCTTTTAAAGGAAGTGAGAGAAACTGTATACTTTACAGTCATTATCGATGGAACCCCAGACGTTTTACACACTGAACAGATCAGTTTTATTCTTCGCTTTATTCATTTCAGCTTCAACAAAAAAAGCTGGAAGGTAAAAGAGCGCTTTCTTTGCGTTAAAGACATGGAGAAAAAAAAAGGAGTAAATATTCCAGAACTATTTTGTGATGTTTTAATAAAAGTAAGAATTGCAGAAATGCCGTGACCAAGGTTACAACAACGGCTCAAATATGGCAGGAATTTACGTTAGAGCACAAGCTTTAATTTTACAGAAAAATCCAATAGCTTTTTATATTCATTGTGGTGCCCATAGTCTTAATTTAGCTGGAGTACATGCAATTGAATCTTGTACTGAGATGAAAACTTTATTTAATAATATCCAAGCTCTCTACGTATTTTTCAGCTGCAGTCCGACTAGGTGGAAGATTTTGCAAGAATTGACTGGAATCTTTCTTCACAAGCTTTCCAATACCAGGTGGTCAGCTCGGATTGCCACTGTTAACCAATAGCAAAACGACCACGGAAAATAATTACTGTCCTTAATCGTACTATAGAGGATCTTGACCTTACTGCTGACATACTAAATCAAGCTAAGTCTTTGATATAGTTTTTTAAATCCTTTGAAACTGTTGTACTTCTGACCTTTTGGTATAAAGTTCTTCAAGTAGTAGATGAAGTAAGGCGTTTGTTCCAGTCAACTTCACTAACAATAGATGACGAAGTTATTATAATTCAACAGTTAGTAAGCAATCTTGACCGTATCCGCTCATCATAGAATAATATTTTTACTGAAGCGAAAGCTGTCGCAGGTCCTCCAGGCTTTGAAACGGAATTTTTGATAAAACGAAAGAAGAAAGCGAAACGGTATCACGATGAACTTGCAAATGCAGCTTTCTGCTACGAGAGCCCCGAGCATCAATTTGAGGTAAACATCTTCAACTTTGCTCTTGATCATTTTATTTATCAAGTTCAGTCAAGATTTGACAAAGTAAATAGTGTTTCCTCAAGTTTCTCATTCATCTGGTGGTAAGAACAAGAACTAGATTCTCAAGAGATAAAAGCTCGTGAATTAGCACAATCAAAGAAGACAACTTCATCCAAGAAATTTTGCATCTTAATTGTTTCAAGGAGTCTTCATTTTTTATTCTTGGAAACTCATTGAGCCTTCTCAACCAAATACATTTAAAGAATCTGTAGCCTATTTTTCCAGATGTATGCAGCTTAGTTCCAATTTTTAATACAATGCCAGTATCTGTTGCAGAGGATGAACGATCCTTTAGTAAACTTAAATTGATAAACAATTATTGTGGGGCCACTATGGGACAAGAACTCTTTTCAGATCTCATGATGATTTCAGTGGAAAATGAGTTAGCTAAGACTCTGTCATATGAAGATATAATAACAAATTTTGCCGGTAAAAAAGTAAGAAAAGAGTGTTTTATATAAGCCGTTTTTTCTTATTTGAATTTCTAAAGAATGTCTAATAATGCATTTATGTTGTATTTGTGTTGCTTAGTTGTATTTTTTTAAAGGCGTAATGTTTGAAAATATTGCTGTAAAATGATTTTAACAGAAATAAACCACAATTAGTATTAATACATATATATATATATATATATATATATATATATATATATATATATATATATATATATATATATATATATATATATATATATATATATATATATATATATATATATATATATATATATAGCACCGGCTACATACAACGCACAGTAGGAAATCACATGCCAAAAATCAAAAAAGTGATATACTTCAAACATTTTGTCTGTTAATGGTTTTTGTTACTGACACCCTGACAAAGAATTTTCAAATTTATGAAATTCTAAATATGACAGCGTCAATGGTGGTGGCTTCTTGAAGTTAGGTTTTTAAAGAATTTTTGATAAAAATCCTCTAGATGCTGAGTTTTAGTAATCGTTATTTTTTTAATATATAAATCATTGAAAAATTGAAAATATACACATCGTTGGATGTGTTTATTGTCAATTTTATGTAAGATAATAAAGACTATTAAAAGTTAAAAAATAAAATTTCCATTTTTGATATCTTAATAATCGACCAAAAACACTTAAATTTCTAAATGTTGTTAAAAAGTTTCTTTTTTCTTTTTAAGTTTATTATTGTGAACTAAGATAGTGGAGGAAAAAAATTTAAGATAAATTGTGCAATGTTTTCAGGTTTCGAAAAGAACTTTTGATATTGTAAATAGTGAGTTTAAATACTTTATTACTAGGATTCAAATCAGAGCAGACAAAATAAATTTATTAAAAAGGAGATTAAAACTAACTCTTGCAAAGTATGTAAAACTATGACATAGAAATCAGGTTTGACTTAATTCAGTTTTTAAAGCTAACCACGTTGCAAGAAAAAATGACGCTAACCACGTTGCAAGAAAAAATGACGTCTAAAGAAACTTTTGCATTTTTTTCAGATAATAAACTTTCAAAAAATGTTTATGAAAATACTCATAAAGAAGCAGCATGGAGATTTCCATCTTATCAAGTAATTTTTGAAAAAACAAGTGCCCACCTTTAAAAAATTCGATTGAAATTAATGAAAGGTCAAAGGTCAAAGTTAAACTATAGGATCTTATGGATTTCGCAGTGGCTTGTTGGTCTACATGAAAAATATATTTTAAATTATTTGAGTTATTAAAAAAATACTTTAATGAATTAATACCCAAATAATAAATAGTAGTTGGGGTATGAACGAAACATTAAGTCACTCAAAATACTATCAATATTTTAATAATTCTAATTAAAATAAACTTTTATGATTCGAATCATTTGTCAGACGAACATCAACTCTTCGACTATATGTACAATCAGATTCAAACAATATTTTATGGAATAAAATGTCTCAAAGTATTAGATTCTGAAGACCAATTGTGCTAGAGTATATAAAGAAAAATAAAGAAGCGGTATTAAAAATAAGGCAGGAAATTGAAAAAGAAATTCCTAATTCACATCTTGTTAAAGTTAGTCAGGACATAAGTTTTTATTAACTATAGTTTCGTTTTTTCAATGATTGATGAAAAAATCTTAGTTTACATCACGAAGATTTCTTCAACACAATGTTGTCCGATTTGTCTCGCCACATTTAACTTGCTGAGCGATCTAAAAATCTTTAAGAAAAGATTTGTTACTGACGGCCGCCATTATGTTACGCCATTTCACTATTCCATGCTTTAATTAGGTTTTTTAAAGTTAATTTACATATTCTATATAGAATTAAAAAAAACAACTTGGAAAGTAGAAAAGGTTTTAAAAGATCAATATTTGAGGAGAAAAAAGTTATTCACGATAGGATGTTTGAAGAATTTGGTTTGAGAGTTGATGAACCAAGAGCTGGCGGATCAGGAACTAGTAATGCCAAATATTTATATCGACGAATTTTTTCTGACCTTCTATTACTCAGCAAAATTTTAGAATTTAATGAAGAAATTGTGATCAGATTACATAACATTCTAATTGCAATCAATTGCAAAGACCCAATTGATCCCGAAAAAATTGATAAATATTGCAACGGTATGTATTAGAAGTTGTTAAAGACATATGATTGGTTCAAGGTCCCAGATTCCATTCGTATTAGAATTAAAAGTATTAGCAAATACTGGGGAAATTGTTATTAATTCAACACTTAAACTTGGTTTAAAATCTTGACACAGAATTTATAAATTTAGCCGTGAACAACATGCAAGAAAAAAAATAGAGAAACAAACTTATTTGAAATTTTTATTCAAGGTATACATTCATCTGATCCCCTAATTAGTTCAATCTATTTACTGAAAGTTTGAAAAGTAAGAAACCTTGCGGAAACCAGAAAAGTTTAAAAGTTTGTTAGTAGTTTATAGAGATGATCCTTGAGAAAATTCATCTGATATGAGATCAGATCAAATTAATGACTTGTATAAACTATATTTAAATGTTGACAAAGTTGACGAAAATCTAGAATTAGATAGAATTAGATAGAAAATCTAGAGCAGAAAAACTTACGTAAGTAAGTACAAGCTTTTACCATTAGTGATCTCGTGACTGAAAAGCTTTTAGAATTAGATATACTCTCAACGTACCTTATGTACAATAAGATAAATATGCTGATCAAATATCAGGTGACTATTGATTGTAATTCCAAGATTTATGATCTTGGAATAACGATCGTCACTATTGCACTATTAACATGATCAAGTTCTATGGTCATTTGGTTCCATGGTCATTTATACCATAATTCCGATTTATAAGTTCATTTTTCATTGTCGATGAAATTTCTCGAACAAATAAATAATCTTTGCAAGTCTTGACAAATTCTAGTAGTTTTTGTATTTTAAAAACTCTCTGTATCCAATCCACTAGCAGTGGGAAGGAGGAAGGAAGGGAGGGGGGCTGAGAGAGGGGGGCTGAGAGAGTTAAGGTTTTTAACTTCTTGTTTTAATGAGTTAAAAGATGGCTTTAATTCTTATCTTGGATTTTTTTTTAAAGTTGATGCAAATTGTCATTCTGCGAATAAAAGCGCATTTCATGTAAACTCTAAAATTCAGGCATACCATTACTTTTATTATTTCTTGTCAATTTATGCGTGGGTAGGCCACATTGTTTTATCAAATTTACAATGCTGTTCACAAATTTTGATTTTTTTGTTTAACTGCTAAATTTCAGGTGGGACAATTTTCATAACATATCAAAGGATTTTGGCAATATTTGGCGTTCTGGTTTGATTTTTCTTCAATTCCTGTATTGAAATATCCGGTTATCCTTGATGAACAACTTTATTTATTTAAGTATGTTAAATAAAGTTGTCAAATTTTTGTATGCTAAATAAAGTTGTCACTTTTTTGTTCAATTAAACATTTTAAAATAAAACGAGTAATTTTTTTAAATTGAATTCCTATACTAGAAATTGAAGCTATGTGTTAAGATGTTTTTAAAATATATAAAAAAATTCATTTTACTTATTACATTTATAAAGCTTGTTCACTTGAATTGCATCCTCTTTACTAATATAACTTCGTTGTCCATATGAAACATTGTTCACTTTAGCTCGAATTGTTGTTAAAAAGGGAAATTTAGGAAAGGAGCTTCTTTCATAGTGCATTAAACTATCAAAGTCGTAAGGACTCCCGAAGCTATCAATTTCGCCACGGTAATATTTTAAGAAGTTGTGTTTGTTGTCTAAAATAAAAGTTTAAATAAGTTTAATCAATATTTTTGCACTTTAAGTTAATTAAATTTACTCAAGATAATGTCTAAACCGATAAAAGATTAAGATAAAAAAAATTTCAAGATAAAAATAAATTTAATTAAGTGCTAATAAATTTTGATAGTTAAAAAAAATCTTATCTTGAAGGTAACAAAATTTTTTAAAAACATAGGTAAACAAAAGCTAAAACAAAACATAAAAAATCCTATCAAACTTTTTAATTTTCTAATTTATTAACAGATAATGAGATGACCAAATGATTTAGTTGGTTTTTTAGATTGATTATAGAAATAATGTTGTTTAGATTGATCATAGAGTTGTTTAGAAAATTTAGCTATTAAGCAGTAGGTTACGTTAATGGCATGTTTGATATATCTGCTGAATAACATTAAATATCTTTTTTAACAACATTAAACACAGTTTTTAATATCATTAAACACCCTGTTTGTTTTTTAAATAAAACTTTAATGTTCCACTTATTTTCTCAGGGCCGCCGAGGGCTGCCACCTGGGACATCTTTTTTTTTTTAGGTGCCTACATTTCATTTGGCGTTTCTTGGATTTCTGCCGCCCGGGACAAGCTGTCACGGCGGCCCTGTATTTTCTTAATAACATTTTGACACAACTTATATCTTTTTTATCACATTTAAAAATAAAAAACATTTTTATATTACTTTTAAAAAAAAAATTTAATCTTTTACATTAACTTAAATATTATAAATAAAAATTAAATATTATAAAATATTATTAAAACTTAAATATTATAACTTAATGATTCATTTACCAATTTTTTGAGTTTTTAATAACAATATATTAAACATTAAAATAAGTTAAATAATCGTTTTTGAAATTTTACTTTCTATTAAAGATTCATCTATTACTTTTTATATTTTGATAAACATTGCCGATTGCAATTTCAATTTCATTTGATAAACATTGCAGGCTGCACTTGCCGACGACACTTGCACTTTCCGACGACACTTGCCGACTGCAATTTCAATTTCATTTGCAACTTACATTAGATTACTTTGACAAATATTGCAAATACATTTTAGGAACAACTTTTAATTTTTAGTTTAAAAAGTAATTACACGATTAAAAAAGTAGTTACAAGTTTAATAAAACTACCTTCTTGAATGTTATCCCACAAAATCTCAACATAATCATCTCTATCAGGCCTTGACTGTTCATGGTAAAGTCCTATTGCATGTCCTATTTCATGCATAGCCACTCCTGCAGTAAAACATCCGAATCCCAAAGATATAAGTTGCTTGCCTCCAATTCGTCCAACATGCGAATAACATCTAGTTGTAAAAAAAATGTAAAAAAAATGTAAAAAAAAAAAAGGATTATTCTCTAATAATATTAAGTTTTTTACTAAGTTTCTATATTTTATATTTTTCTCTTTCTATATTTTATATTTTTCTCTTTCTTTCTTATCTTCCTACATATTATTACACTTAATCATAAAATGTTTGATGTTTTGATACTGCAGTTTTAATATAAATTCATAAATTTCTTTGCGCACAAATGAGAGGTTGTGCAAATTTTATGACAAAAATTGAAGATTTATGAAAAAGATTGGAAATTTATATTATGGAAAAGATTGGAGATTTATGAGAGATTTTCAAAGATGTCAAAGAGAGACATAATCAGGCTAAACATTAAAAGTAGTAAATTTAAACATCCTAAAAATTTTTCCTTAAATTTTGATTAATTATAACTTATTAGTTTTCGTTGTATACTTTTAAAATTTTTTTATTAACACTAACATAAATAACGCAATATTGATACAAAAAGATTGTGCAAGTTCGCGCAAATTTATGCAAATTGCATGTAATTATGAAATCCCTCAATTTAAAAAATTGTATTTAATTGAAAATTTTGCAGATTTAAACATATATAGAGAATTATTTTGGTTTCACTTCATAAACATATATTGAGAACACTTATTTTGGTTTTACTTCATAAACATATATAGAGAACACTTATTTTGGTTTCACTTCATAAACATATATAGAGAACACTTATTTTGGTTTCACTTCATAAACATATATAAAGAACACTTATTTTGGTTTCACTTCATAAACATATATAGAGAACACTTATTTTGGTTTCACTTCATAAACATATATAAAGAATACTTATTTTGGTTTCACTTCATAAACATATATAGAGAACACTTATTTTGGTTTCACTTCATAAAAATGATTAGTTTAAAAAAGTCAAGTCAAAAGGGTTTGACTTAATTCGTTTAAACTAGTATGGTTTTTGTTGATTTGTTTAAATTATATGATTTTTGTTAACTTGTCAATTTTTAAACTAGCAAACTTTTTTATTAAAGCTCGCGTACTGAACATTAATTAAAAATTTTATTATACCTGATGACGCTGATCACAATAGATCAGCAAAATATCCAACGTAGAATATTGAATATATATTAAAATAAAATAAAAAATATTTTTTTCAAGCAACATTTACACGCAGCCGTAATTATTTAATTTTGATCGTAAACCAAGAAAATGACGTTCTAAGAATATATATATATATATGTATATATATATATATATATATATATATATATATATATATATATATATATATATATATATATATATATATATATATATATATATATATACATATTAACTGTTACTTAATTTTGATTAATGACTTGTAATTGATATTGAATTTATTGATATTAATTTTTCTCATTCATATCTTCTTGTAGATACTGTGTAGATCCAATATAGTATATAATGACTTGCAATTGAATATACAAATATTGAATTATTTGAACTGTTTATTTTTTTAGTTTCTATTTTGTTGTACTAAAATGGCTCCAGTTCGAGAATTAAGCTTTGAACAGAGAGTTCACACCGTTTTACTTGATGAAGAAGGTGTTTCAGAAAGAAAAATTGCCTAAAGAATGAAACTATCAAAGAATTATCTGGAATTCACAATACAATCAACCGTTTCAAGGAAACTGGTCAATTTTGTGACTTACCACGACCTGGAGTGCCTAGAAAGATAGATGAATACGGTGATCGTCGTAATACGAGATTATCTATGTCAAACAGAAAATTAACAGCTTCACAAATAACGAGAGAATATTAATTATAATAATAATAAATTAATGGGAGTTACTGCAAAAGGCTTGGAAAGCTGTAACCATGAAAACTTAAAACAAATTAATCTTTTGTATGCCAAGAATATGTGAAGCAGTAATGAAGTAACTTGGTTATTTTGATTAACGCAAAGTTTGAAGCTTGTACAAAATAATAAAGACCTTATAATTTAACTTTTTAATGTTTGTTAAGCTTTCTATTTGTTTAGAAATATTTGTGAAGAAAACTAAATAAAGTATATTTCATGAACTAATTTGTAGTTTCTTAATTCACTGAGATCAAAAAAACATAAACGAAAATATAATTGATTTTAAATAGAATTACTGTTTTCTCATCACTGGTCTCAAATTAATTGCCGGTAGTGTATATAAGAAATGCCTTAATTGGATTACTTAAGGAATAAATATTTATTAACCAAAGATGGCTTAACTACGAAAAATAAAATATTATATATAAAACATTTATGATTTGATTAATCCACCCGCTGCTCCAATTGTTTAATAAAAACATATTATAAGTGTTTTTACCTATTTATTATTGCTCTGTTCTTTAAGAACATTAGGCACTCTATTTGTAGAATACACTAATATATATATATATATATATATATATATATATATATATATATATATATATATATATATATATATATATATTACCATATAAATTGTATGTATCACCATATAAATTGTAGAGTTTTTCAGGTATCAAATATTAGGTCCTCTTCTTTTTCTTATTTACATCTACGAAATTTATAAATTTTAACCCGTAAACTTTTTAGCGGTTTTCGAAGACTCGACGAGTCCCCGTTAAATTTTATTTCTTAATATTGTTCTTTTAAATTTTTTCTTAATATTGTTCTTTTAAATTTTATCCACTAGCAAAGCAGCAACCATTTGTCGACAGTTATCTCAAAACGAATTCAACAATGACACACCTTCACAGTCTCATATATTCAGATCAACTGTTAAAGAAGCTTCAAAAAGAAATGAAGAAGACGATAGATTTAGAAAGTTGGTCACAGCACTTTGATGGTAAAAAGAATATCAAGTGTTAGTGTTAAAGAATAAAACAAAGAGAAGTTAAGTTACAAACACTAGATCTTCGAGATGAAAAAGTTTTTTTTTAAAGATATATCAGCTATTCTTAACAAATGATTGTCAGTCAGTTGAAAAAAAAGTTTTTATAAAAAGAAACTGGAAGAACCACAATTTATTAATTGTCAAAATCATGTTCTTGACCGAGTCCATTTAGCAGCAATGAATGAAGAATTTGGAGGAAACAACATATCGCCCAATATCGAATATCTATTTATCCCGGAAAAAATTTAAGAATGGTAAAGTGATTACTGAAACAGCAGGATAATGATGATGAAATGAAATTTTTATTTCAATAAACTTGGATATTCTGAAGTTTCAGAAAATACCTAAAAAATGCAAGATAGTAATCCCGAGCAATATTCGTTTTTTTGGCATTTATTTTTTACTAGAGAGAAGAGAATCACTACTCAATATTTTTAGATTCATCTATTACAGTTGGGGGAAAAACTGTTTTACTGACCAAATTTACAATGCAGATAATTATTGAATACTACGTAGCAGCTTGCACGGTCACGAAAAAGCTTTAAACTCAGTGAAAAGGTTTTGGAATCATAGAGACCGGAAATTCTCAGAACAAATCAGTGTGCAGAACAAGAAATCTAGTGTTTTCAGGATCTTTTTGACATCTATAAAAAGAAAGAGCACCTCCAGCTTAGATTTATTTTGTCTAACAAAGCTTAAGAATTGTATATTACGCTTTAATTAAGCTGATAACTACTCAACATTTTTTTGATATACACAGTAGCTTTTCGTACTTGTAGAACTGTTATCTAAGTTTGTAATTTATATCTGTTATCTAAGCTTGTAATCTATTTGTAATTTAAAGTGTTATAATGTAACAATAAACTGTTAAATGGTTAAAAACTACATAATAACTCTCCAATTAAAAAAATTAAAATTAAAAAATAACAATCATTGAATTGATTGAAATTTTATCCATACGTAGATATGGTAAATTCGAATTTTTAGTTTGTGGGTGATCTTTTTCTACGAGAAAATGGAATTAAAATTTTTTCTTTACTTTTGTACAAATTTATATAGCTATATGACCCAAGAACACGGGGTCACAAAAATGTAATGACCATAATAAATATACACCTATATGTGTGTGTGTGTGTGTGTGTGTGTGTGTGTGTGTGTGTGTGTGTGTGTGTGTGTGTAGTTTAGTCAAAAGTTAACTCACTTTCCGAACCCTCCGTCAAAAAACTCAATGTAATCATTTTCAACTGTTCGGGGAATAAACCTTAAACAAGTCTTTTCTTCCCATGCTGACATTGCGTTTTTGATTGCCTTTTCAGTTGGACCGTTTATATTTACGGAGTTTAACACAGTATTTTCTAAAAAAAAATACACGCTATACTACACATTAGATAAACCAAAAAAATAACTTTTAAAAAATCTACGAAAGTTTGAGATCAACAAAATCTCTAAACTTGAGCCATCAAACCCCAAACTCCTCAACCCCAAGTATGAAAGCAATAACTTTCTGAACATTTTTGAACTAAATTTATATCTATAAATAGATTTTATGCATCTGATAATATTTTAGTGTTTGTAAAATAGAAATATTGTTAAATTATGACAGTTTAAAGTTGATAACCCCTCTTTTTAAGGGGTTCTGAAAAAATCAAAATAAGCTACCACAGTTTTGTGTAATAAAATATATTTAACTTAAATAATTTTTTTTGAAATAATTTATACAACATACTTGCACTAGGATGAATGATGTATGGAATAACTTTATTGGGCCATTTATGCGAGAAGCTGCTTGAGACTGCGTATCCTGTTTTATTATATCTAAGGTCTATGCTCCCACTATTTATAGCAGAATTAATACTTTCTTTCGACAAAATCATATCACCTTCGAAAATATATCCACCAGCTTCCGCTGTTAAAAAAAAACTTAAAAATTATTAAAATATATAAGCTATATAAAATAAACTTTAAGTTATTATTTATTAAATTTCATTATTATTTTTACATAAATATAAATGTTTCAACCAAAAAATTGAGCTACATACGTTCTAAAAATAAAGTGTTGCTTTTTCCATAGCAACGATATATTAATATTGTCACTGCAAAAACAAATGATGATTGCATCTTTAAACTTTCTTTTTTAAGCTTCTAATTGGAATTTAGTGAAAAAAAAGTTATTCATATTAGATATTAGATATAAATGAGCATATTATTTATTGCAATTATTACCGTATCTATGGCCATGTATAATACTTAGCAACAACTTACTTAACAACAATAAAATATTAATAAAAATAATAATAATCAGTCAGAAATGAAAAAGAATAAAATAAAAATAATAATATTAATAACAATAATAATAATGATAGTAATAATATATAATATATATATATATATATATATATATATATATATATATATATATATATATATATATATATATATATATATATATATATATATATATATATATATATATATATATATATATATATTATGTTCTTGTACCCTTTTATACCTGTGTATAAATCTTATACCACCTTTATCAAAATTTTTACATTAAAAAAGTGAATAAATAAAGTGTGTATACAGCAGTATATTGACACGACTGTTTAAATATAGGTTAATATTTAAATATATGTTTTAGATACTTTAATAATAGAAATAAGAGAAACATAGCTTTTTCTTTGCCGTTAAGTTTGTGTGCTGAAAATATGACCCTTTATAGTCCAAACAAAAAATAAAATTTTAATCAGTATGATTTTTCTTACTCACAAATAATCCTCAAATTTGATTTTTCATAAATTCTAAATGTTCCGGAAAATTAGAGGTTTCAACAAAAAAATCGTTTATTTAAAAATCATACGATCTTATTATTGCGTCTGAACGCATTCATTTCCCATGATTCATTTCTCATCACTTCAAAAAAACCTCTGTCTTCCTGCGTTAATTTTTTTTTACAATGTTATCGTTGACAAAATGTCTTATCTTCATTTTCCTTCTTGAAATAGAAAAAACTAAATAAAAATATGCAATTTTCGTTTTAAATTGTTAATTTAAAAAACTAAAAAGTATAAATAATAGGAGTGGAACTAGTGGAGCAATTTTTACTAAATATAACAGATTTCATAAACTGTGCGTCGGATATTTATAATTTTTTAAAAATTAAAAAAATAATTCAACCTGCTTAAAATTTGATGAGAAAAAATATTTGTTAATATTTTTGAGAAGATATTGCCTAAAATTTGCGGAGCTGCTCAACCTAACCCAGAGGGGTAAGTAGAGGAGTAGTGTGGGTATATTGATCAATCAACAAATAAATGAAAATACATGGTACGAAACCTGGGTGAATCATCAACAAAACCTTTATTGTCATTAAGCGTGTGTATTTTATAAACTATTTTTATAAACTATTTTTATAAACTTAATTTATAAACTTTTTATTTTATACACTTTAATGACGTAAATAAGAGAAGAGAAAAACTTAAATAGCAAGAAAGTGTCATAAAATATAAAATATTATTTTATACAACTATAACTTAACTAACTTTGAAGCTTGATTAAAAAATTACTAATTACCGTGTATCAATTGAGTAAGATACACGGGTACTTTTTCTATTTTGAACTAAAGAAAAAATATATATATTTTTGCTAATTCTTTTTTAGATTTTTTTATCTGCCATCACTTACGTGTTGATACTTTTTATATTACGTGTTGAATATTTTATATTACGAGTTGATAATATTACGTGCTCATAATTTTATCATGTGATTAAATTATAAAGGTTTTATAAACTTTAGTTAAGTAGAGCGGGGCTATGAACTATAGTAGATTAGAGCGGGGCTATGAACTTTAGTAGTAGAGGGGGGCTATTAAAAGTTGGGCAATTAAAATATCTCAAAAAATACGCATCTCATGACAAAACATCTAATTGATGAAAGTTAGGGAAGTAGAATGTTAATACAATGCGCAATAAACGATTGTTTGATCAAACATAATTCCCTAACTTTCATCCATTAGATATTTTGTCATGTAATGCTTATTTTTTGAGATATTTTAATTACCCAACTTTTAATAGCCCCCCTCTACTAAAGTTCATAGCCCCGCTCTACTCTACTATAGTTTATAGCCCCGCTCTACTCAACTAAAGTTTATAAAACCTTTATAATTTAATCACATGATAAAATTATTTATTAGTAATTTTTGAAGATTAAAAATTTAAGATTTCTTTTTTTTATAATTATATTATTTTACTTTTAAAGCAGAATTAAAACAAACAAAAAAAGCACAATGAAACAAACAATAATGAGATTTATCATAAAATATATCACTATGATGTAATGTGTAAAATGTATCATTATTGCAATTTTTTTTTTTTTTGCAATTTATTTAAGTAATTTTTTTTGTGGTGGTAATTCATATGTCTTGTATTTTTTTTTAAACACAATTTGTAAATTTGTCTTACCTTATCATAAACCGGTCCCCCCCCCGGCATTGTCGGTCTTGTCATCACTCATTTCACTATTGGTCAGTATGGTTCGATGGCTCGCTACTCAAGATAGTTTAGTGGATTATAATTCTTTGAAACTACGTTGACTCATTAATTTTACTTAAACCAATCCATTACTTTTTTGAAATAGTAGATGCCAGATCTGGTAAAAATAAAAATGATCCTTTATGTTTTTTAATTAAAAGGAGAATTTTTTTAATAACTCAATCACGTATAGATCTGATGTCAAGTTTAATTTGTTATGAATATAAAGCTTTTAAAGTCACAACTGCAATTAGCCATGCGTAATGTTAAATAATTTTAAAGTCACAACTGCAAATAACAATGCACAATGTTAAATAATTCTAAAGTCTCAACTGCAAAAATCAATTCTCTCTGAATTTTGAAAAGATCTACTGTATCTAAACTTTTTAATTAGATTTTGATAAATTGAGTCTTTATTTTGATGAACTTTGTGTTCTTTTTTTCAACAAATCTTGATTTTCCACACCTTTCCTATTTTCTGTATTTTAGCTTCATTCTCCTTATACCATTTTATAACAACTCCAACAGTTGATTTTACATTTACAAAAACCGTTAAAACTGATTAAGTGATTTTTGATTAAACTTAAAATTGTACAAATTTCAACCGATTATAGTGATATATTTTGATTAAACTTAAAATTGTACAAATTTCAACCGATTATAGTGATATATTTTGATTAAACTTAAAATTGTACAAATTTCAACCGATTATAGTGATATATTTTGATTAAACTTAAAATTGTACAAATTTCAACCGATTATAGTGATATATTTTGATTAAACTTAAAATTGTACAAATTTCAACCGATTATAGTGATATATTTTGATTAAACTTAAAATTGTACAAATTTCAACCGATTATAGTGATATATTTTGATTAAACTTAAAATTGTACAAATTTCAACCGATTATAGTGATATATTTTGATTAAACTTAAAATTGTACAAATTTCAACCGATTATAGTGGTATATTTTGATTAAACTTAAAATTGTACAAATTTCAACCGATTATAGTGATATATTTTGATTAAACTTAAAATTGTACAAATTTCAACCGATTATAGTGATATATTTTGATTAAACTTAAAATTGTACAAATTTCAACCGATTATAGTGATATATTTTGATTAAACTTAAAATTGTACAAATTTCAACCGATTATAGTGATATATTTTGATTAAACTTAAAATTGTACATAAACAAATAAATTAAATTATACATTATTATAATTAGACTGATTTCAATTTGGTTTGTTGACAATGAAAAAATTATTTAAGAAGAAGTTCTTGATATTTTTAAAAAAGAAAAAACTACAACCCGTGCTTTCTAAAACTTTGGAAAAGCCATTTTGGCAGCTTAGTATTTGGACATTGTAAAGGTCACTGCTTAAATTTTGTTATATCTCACAGCTAATCAACAAATTCATGATTAGACAAATTGAATGGTATATAATATTATAAATCAACCATTTATAAAATAGGGTACAACTGCTCATTGATAATTAAAGCCAGAGATGTTGATACAAAAAAAAAAGAGCCACATCCACTATTTTACAATGCTAAACGCGAGATATGATTACTGCATACAAAGAAGTTCAAAATGTTTTATTAAAGTTAAAAATTGACATGACGCTCATCTCAAACAACTTTCAGGTTCCATCTTTACACATGCATGTAAATGGCAAGACTTTTGGGGATCGATCAAGGGCATTTTAATGCAAAACCTATTGTCAGAACACTAAAGCTGATACTCCAGATAAGATTTGCAAGCGAAGCATTCTGGTTACTTATTTAGATTCAAATAATGAATCAGAATGTTCCAAAAAATCCAAAGTCAAAAAGTTTTTAAGTTTTATTGTTTAAGTGCAATATGCAATTTCTTCCGAATATACACACTTATCTCATTAATAGTAAAGAAGTGCGTCTGCGTCTTGCAGGTTGTCAGATAATATGAGACCACCAATTAAGAAAGAGTGTTTAGAGATATTTACACTAATGTGCATCGTAATAAGATCAATGCGTTTGTCAAAATGAAAATTACAAAATGGTTTATCAAACTACATCCAAGAAGAATGGATTCCACCTTTACTCACATGAGATTCTTTTTTCTACTTTTTTTATTTATTGTATTTTAATTAATGTGTTTTCTTTTTTATTTATTGTATTTTAATTAGTATGTTGGTTAATTAATATCTTGATTTTTTGTTGTATTTTAATTAATGTTGTTGAATAATAAAGTTATATTGTTCTCTTGATTTTGAATTTTGAAATTTAACTTATATGCTCATTTGGCGTCCTTAAAAAAATTGCTTCCCCTTTTTCAAAAAATTATGTTTATTATCAAACCTTATCAATCTTATAAAATCCCATCAAATTATAGATTCTTATAAATTCCCATTAAATTATGGATTCTTATAAATTCCCATTAAATTATAGATTCTTATAAATTCCCATTAAATTATAGATTCTTATAGATTTCCATTAAATTATAGATTCTTATAGATTCCCATTAAATTATAGATTCTTATAGATTCGCATCAAGTCTTTTTGGCTCTAGTTATTTTTATTCCCACATTAAAACACTTTTTAAAATTTTTAATGAATAATGTTCATCATTAGTAGTAGATCATTTTTTAAAAAAA